ATACTCTCGCTGCTTGTTACATATACACGCAATCCCAAAAAATGTGCACACTGATCCTAAATAACTTTCTTTCTACAATGTCTTTCGAGGATCTCTGAGATGTTTTTGGGCATTTTCACGAACGTATTTTAATTATTTCACAAGTTTTCTGAGCTTTTTAAGTGGTCTACGTTTTTGACAAAAAGTTGGAAGAGCAGTTTTTTTACCTATGAAGCAAGCATGATTGTGATGTGCAAATTCCATATCTGCAACCACGGCTCTGATAAGACTAGTATGAGAGTTTCTACTTGAATGAGACTCTCAACGGCTCAAAACCCTCTTCAAAGTTTCTACTGCAACCATATGGTAACGATGGGCAATCGGAGATTCGCACCCTACTGTAAATCCAGGTTGAAGACAGCTCAGACACGATACTCAAAGATTGACATTGAAGAGGTACAGAATAAAGATCAAACGGTGTGCACATTTTTTGAGACATCTTGTATGATGTATCGTTGTATTTAAATTCATTTTATGAAAAGAAGATCAATTTTTTTTTAGACAAAATCTTTTTCCCTTCTTCTTTGATTGCTCTTACATTAAGCTTTTGTCTTCAAGATACAAGGTGATGTATGCTCTTCTCAAAATAGATACACTGACTAAAGCGTACCTCTCCAGTGGTGAAGTCTTTGTACCTGTCCATGTAATCTATGTCTGCCACTGTTGTATCAAGAGGAATGCCTGCTGCCACATTCCTTTCGGTTACATCTATCAGCTCATTTAGATCCTTATAGCCATAGCGTGATATCTAGAGTGATACTCAAAGATTAAAATATGCATCTTTCATATCAAATTCACCTGGAAGCCCAGCCCCCAGTAAGCGGGCAGGAAAGGCCTTCCGATTAATGCAAGATATTGTTGCGTAACTTCATCTGGAGTAGGACCTGGGAAGAAATACATATCGAGATTGCCTCCAATAGTACGATAGATCAGTGCAGGTCCTGGCGCAGTTCTGACCTCCTAAAATTTTTATATTACACAAATTTTGCTGGCACCACCAAAGTGTGCACATAGTAGCCTTCCAAATGCTCACAAAAACTAGGGATATCATTACTTAGCTTTCTTACAGCAAAGTAGCTAGCTTGTGATATGGATATTGTAACAGTGATTTAGCTTTATGAAATATTTGATCATTTGAAATTAATCGTCTTCAAAGTCAATTAATCGGTATTTTTTAAAAACATTTCAATTCGATTATTCGACATTTTTTATTGAGAAAATACTCGATATTCGGTTCTACTTTTTATTTTACTTTTGAGGATAATCGAGATTTCTCACTTCGAAGATAGTTCGTTCTGCTGCATTTTTCTGACATATGAGCAACTGGATTCTTAGCAGCTTGAGCAAGCTCAAAGAAATTCGTGGGTTTTGCTTTCACAAACATTGTGTGGTTTTTTCGCCTGCATGTGCGGTGATTCGCGGTTGTCTTCGCGATTGGTAATAATGCCCCGTTTCATCACTTTGGGCTGCCTTTACGCAGATAAGCGATTGATTTTGTTAGCTCTGTATGCTCAGTTTGGGAGATTAAGCCATGCATGTCAAATCAGTCCTAGAAAGGTGCTGTCTAGTTTTTGGACAATTTAATTCCTTGACTTATCTTTCAAGTGAACAAACTTTTTACCGTATATCAATCTTTGCCGCTTTAGAAAGTTCTCTTTGCTTGTATAGCCGTATAAGGAGAGGACTAGTGACTAGTGAGCCCTATGCCTTGAAGGTCCCCCTTCTAGTTTACCCAGGGTCCTTTACGAATTCGCCCGCCTTTGCTTAAGCTGGTCAGCCATGCTCTGGTAATTTGTTACTTCCCCATGCGTTCGGGTAAGGGAAAAGGATTTTGGTGGAGTCCCTTTCACTTGTTGGAGATGGAGAGTGACTTGATTCAACCAGCAAGGGATAATGTGATCCAAGCCCAAGTGTTTTGTGTTCTGTATTCTTTTTGTTCTTGATTTTGGCGCATCTTTGCTTTTCGGATATATTTGAGTATACTGTTCAGAAAAATTCGATTATCACAAAGTATACTCTGGTCTTTTTGTGTACCTGTGCGTTGCTGTTGAGAATCAAGACTCCATGGGCTTTGCCATCTGGTTCCAAAACCATGT